ATTAGCCGCTGCTTCTTTGGCAAGCCGCTCCTCTTCTGCTTTCTTGGCATTGGCCGCTGCTTCTTTGGCACCGGCTGCCTGCTCGGTCAAACGCTTCAGGCGCAAACAGTTGAATGCTTAAAGCCATGAAACGGTAGCACTTGTCTTGCAGGAGCAAATTTGAGACTGGAGCGACTAAAGCACAACACTTCCAGTTCAGTTTCTAGCTACACTTAGGTCCTGCGCTGGAGCTTCTCGTTTCTGCATACCTCGGACAAGGTCCCCTGGTTTAGGGCAGACTGTTCAAGGTAGACTTAAGTCCTGTTGGGTGAAGCAAAAAATGCCTTCTGGGGCCTTCTAGGGGCTGTCTTCGCTACTAGTAACAAGTGCATCGCTACTAGTAACAAGTGATATAGCAACTTAGCTTAGGTGCAACTGTGCAACTTGTGGCCTTTGCCTTTCCGCCCTCCGAGTCTCAGCTGCAGGCCCAGCAGCACCCAATTCATCTCTCCACCCGCTTCTCGTACGGAGTCAACGCAGGTATGTAACTGGCAACAGGAAACAGGGTCAGCGAATTGTATTCTCAACATGTCTCAAGGTGCACATTTGAGTTGCATGCTCTTTTAGTGCCTTTTTCCAAAAGATCATACAGAGCACTATAGAGGGAACTTTCACAGACAGCACAACAAAAAGCGTCCGCCCAAGCAGCGGCCAGTGCAACGTAAAGTTTGCAGTACAACGGAAAAGCGGGTCAGAATCCTAATACGAGCCCTCCTAGAATCATTGAACCATGCATCTACACTTTCACAACCAGTTGTTTAATTATTCGGCTTCATGCTTTTGCCTTTCTGAGAAGACCCTCCCTGCAATGATGAGGCTGCGCACGTCGGTACACATCCGCGAGGCGCTGTCACTGCCAAACTCCTGCCGCTGCCATGCACATGCGAAATGATGGTGATGGAGTGTGGTCTTTGTTTGTTGAAGGCATCACGGAGAGATCATGGAGACAATTTCCTGTGAAAGGCCGTACCAAACATTGAACATTCTGCTCCACCACTCCGAGTTGGGAACATGAGGGCAGGATTACAAGGCCTTCAAAGTCATTCAAAGCGTCAGCATTTCAAACCAGTTTCATGGATGGTGCAAAGTTGGTCCTCCAGCTCTGCTTCCAGCTGCTTCTGCTGTTCCAAGGCTAGAGAAGCCATGTACTCCTGTCTGCAGTTCTCTCACAAGTCTTTGCTTTGGCAATCTGTGGCCCGAGAATGAACTGCTCAGCACTGTAAGGGCAACTGAAAGAGAGCTGATAGGAGCCCCATATCCAACAGTGTCGAGAGCCCGTCCTCCTGGATACTTTTCATATTAACATTGACCAGCATTCATCGGCATGTCAACTCATGCTTCGGCTTGAAGTTCAAACGCGTGATGAATCCGGGTAAACTTAAAGTGTGACTCTTGCTTCCTCAGGTCGATTTAATTTGTCAGCATGACACACATTGACAAATCATCGTAGCCAGGGTTATGACTCCTCCACCGAGATCTGGCTTTTCCCCGCATCAGTGATTGCACCATCCACCACAGCCAAGCCTCAACGTGCGAAGCGGCTTGGATGGCTCAGCAAAAAGCTGTTACACCGAAGCCAGCTTTCTCATGCAATGTCAGACTGCGAACCAGAAAATCATCTGCATCTGCATCTTGATGCAGTGAGAAAATGTGCATTGGGCGCTGACGCCAAAGCTCGGAGATCAAGTCTGCAAGGTCCAAGTCATCCAAACTATGTGCCTCCACGTCCGACAGATTATTTAAGTATATATATACATGAAGACAACATGAAGACACAAACGAATACTGGAAGTACAAAACTTGTTTGTCAAAAGTGCGTTCCCAATTTAGTTCTTAACTTGTAGAATGGCAAGTTGCGTACAGAATAAGACCACATTGAGCTAAGTCACAACTTCACCCTCTCGGCATCTGCACACTGCTACAGAACCTAGAGATACCTAGAGTATCTCTTACGCACATCAAGCAAAATAAACAAAGTCAAACAAGTCATGAAAGCATCTCAACAAACGTACTCACCCAAAGAAGCATGGCCGTGGGAAAACAAATGAATAGGCTTGTGCCTCACGGCGGAAAGTGATGCTGCAGATTGCGCGGACCTGGCTCCAGGAATCTGTCAATTAAAGCACACTTGCTGCGAGCTCGCAGAAATGTACTTGATAGGCTCAACTCTGGCTGCACACACACACACACATTCGTGTGTGTAACGATCTGATTCCGCCCAGCCCTGAAATCTTGGTGGAAGAAACACTTATATGAGTAAAACATGCAACGAGGTCAACGCGTCCTCAAAGGTTGACCATCGAAGTTACAAAATTCAATTCAAGAGAACTCCAAGTTCCCCCAGTTCCAACGAAACACGAAACCAAATCGAGCGCTCGCATTTGCACACTTGAATCATCCTGCAAGTACCTGAAGACCTTTACAAGAGGAAGGTGGCTAGAACGCTCACAAACGTAGCAGGTACAAGGGAGTGATCAGCTTCGTCCTAGGGGCACCTTCTCATCCCAAAGGTTACACACATACACACCAAGCTTTGCGGGCCCGGGTCCACAACCGTACATCCATCACGCATTGTCCATTGTAGTCTTGCAGCTTGACCGCCGATACACCCCGCCTGCGCATCCGCTTGCTGCTGCTTTGCATTCCATTTTCCACGCCTGCCAAACATATTGCGACGCTCTAGCCGCTCAAAAGATCCCCGTGGAACCACTGTTTCTCGAGTTTGCTTCCACATTTTTTTTTGTTTATTCCTTTCCCGTGCACAAAAGAACTAGTGTGTGAATAGTGGGCGAATGACCAGCCGAGCCTGACAGCAGACACGTTTGGCCCGACCTGATTGATGATACAATCCACTCAGGTTCACTCGCACATGTGCCACTTACATGTGCTCATTCCACAAGTATAACTTGTTCTTGTTCTTCTTTAATGTTATTTCTGCATTCAGTAGAATGTTTGTGCCACACTAGTGAAAATTAAAATCAGCCTCAGAACCTAACCCAGTGCACGAAAATATACCTCGGTTGTGAATAAATCGGTCAAGCAAGGAGGGGAGGCATTCATTTGTACTGGACTGCATCTGCGCACTTCACAACCTTTGGCGAAGCCGTCATGCCCTCCACAGAACTGGCAGTCTCGCGGCCAAAGGTGAAACCTGGCAGTTTCCCAGCAGCAGGTTTCAGACCAAAGAGAGTTCTACAATTGCAAGGTGTCACTTCAGACCAAAAACATCCAAAGACCTTCTACATCGAATGGTTCGCGAATGCTTCGCAAATGGTTCAAGTAAAGCAAGTGTGGCGGATCACGCCAAAAAGGACCAAGTCTTCGGCCAGCCAGACCTTCATCCTGCCCAACACAAACGCACTCTTCCCGCAGGCCCGGCCAAGAAAGGGCATTCATGTTGCAAGCATTTTTGTCTCAGCTGGTTAAGTCCAAGATCTAAATCAAGCCTTAATAGTGAGGGATGTGAGAGGTAGTTGAAAGAAAACAGACGACGTGTGTGTGTGTGTGTCCACCTCTGTAACTAAGAGTTTCTGTTTTTCTCAACGTTTAAGTCCCAGGGGGCATGACGGTCGACTTCTTAGTCACGCCAACGAAGCTAGGGAAATCGGCTGGATGGAAGTTTGGACGCAAACTTCTGTACCTGCGCGGATGAAAACTTTTGCACACGCTGTGACTCCGCTTTTTCCTTCTGTTGTTTCCATAGTGGTTGTTCGCATGATATCCCCCAAAATAGGTTTCCTTAGCTTTGGTAAAGTGCTAGTGCGTTTGTTAAGCAGTTCTGTTCTTCGGACCCTTGCACCTTACCGCAGTAACTAGATTCCGCAGTCAAGTGAACAACTCCTTTGTTAAAACACCTTGGACTGCTTCGGGAATTGAGTTAATGCCAAACCAATGTCAGAGTGTGACTCGCTCAGTCGTCCCACTTGGGTGCTGGGTGTGATCCTCCGCAAGGAGGCGCTGTTTTCATTCCGGAAATCGTGTAACTGACTCCACCGTTCTCCACCTCTCTTTGGATTTTCTTAACCGCTTTAGTTTCACTACTGGATTTACTGAATTTGATGCCGTCGGGCTTACGAAATACCTCCACTTGCATCTCCACTTGCATTTCCATGTGCTGCATTTCCATGTGAGGAATTGAGACCAGTGAAGCTACTGTCCACACTTGCACTTCCACACAACCCCCCCCACTTTGCAACCTAATTCGTGTTTCTATCCCACCCGCTATTAGGGTAACAGAAGGAAATGGTACTCGACGCACTTGTGTGTCGGTACCTTTTCTTCTGTTTCTCCTATTCTACTCCTAGCTACCCGGGCGGTTTAAGACGTATGTCCCGCTCGCTAATTAACTACTGCATTTAATTCATTCGGCTAAGTAGTCAGTAACTAGCAGGTTTCGTAACTAGTGGGCCTTGTCACTACACCTATCTTTCTCTCTTTCCTTTGCGTTTTCCTTTCTGTCTTTCTTTCCTTTCGTTCTAAGGCCTTTTAGGTGATTAGTAAGTTCCCCCAGAGCGCCGATATCGGCGTTCTGTGTGTGTCCACCTCTGTAACTAAGAGTTTCTGTTTTTCTCAACTTTTAAGTCGCAGGGGGCGTGACGGTCGATTTCCTAGTCACGCCAACGAAGCTAGGGAAATCGGCTGGATGGAAGTTTGGACGCAAACTTCTGTACCTGCGCGGATGAAAACTTTTGCACACGCTGTGACTCCGCTTTTTCCTTCTGTTGTTTCCATAGTGGTTGTTCGCATGATATCCCCCAAAATAGGTTTCCTTAGCTTTGGTAAAGTGCTAGTTCGTTTGTTAAGCAGTTCTGTTCTTCGGACCCTTGCACCTTACCGTTCTTGCAGTAAAGGGCTAATGCAGTAACTAGATTCCGCAGTCAAGTGAACAACTCCTTTGTTAAAACACCTTCAAGTGCTCCGACTCTTTCATCTTTCGGTTCCATCGCCATTTTTCCTGGGAATTGAGTTAACTGCAAACCAATGTCAGAGTGTGTGCGTTCTTTTTCACAACAAAAAACACACACATGCAAACCTCAGTCTCAGTGGCGACAAAACACGTCTTGAACCCGGATTGCCGATTCTCTTCTGATGAGCCCCTAGGCTTTAGCCAAAACATTCTTTGCAACATTTGCAAGACCTCGCTTTGCCTCATGTATTGTGGAAAGCAGCCCAATCATGCATACACCACTGCATTTCCTGCGTTCCAATGCTTCTTCATCTGCAATCGACACTGCCCATGGCATTCAACACGTTCAACAGAGTCATCTAACAAGCTGAATACACTGATGAACATGAGTAGTACAGGTACTATAGTAGTTATTATAGTTCTAGAAGACGTTTTGTTGGATAAGGCCTTCATCGAACACGGTCGACGACGTTGGTGACACATGACACGCACGCCGTCGCTCTGAGGACTCTGGCTCCAAGAGGCCGCCATAGCCCGCATTGTGGAGCTCAAACTTCTCCGGTTCCAAAAGAACCCAGTTATATGGCCTGACATGGCTGTCACACTTGGCAAAGCTGAACACCCTTTCCCAGGAAACCCAGTTCTTGCGATGTCATAATGCTACGCCAATGTTCAAAAGTGGATCTGTTCTTCGCTTGCGCAAGTTTGTCGAGGTAAAGCTCGTCCAAATGCGAAGGCTTCTGCGAAGGCACCCGGTCGCATCACCAACTGCAGCAAGTGCACGGTCTACGGAGATCTGCTTCTGGTTCTCCTCATCGCAAAAAAAGCGCCATGTAAACATAAGTAAACACCCTGCAAGAGAACTAGCAAGTCTTGCAAAAATAGCAACATCGCAGATCCGTTCCTAAGAATTGCAGGATGTTTCTTGAGTATGTGGACTCAAAGACTTGCTGCTAGTCAGAACAGTGGCACCTCACAAAGGATCCCCACAATCACCCAGTGCAGCCTAGATCGAATGCAGTATGAGCCAAGCTTAGGAGTTTGACATTTCAGACTAGCTCGCATTTCAAAGAACTTTCTTTGCTGAAGCATTCAACGCTCATCAACAGGATCCCACGGCGCCCACACGCCTTTGCTGTTCTTGGGCCTACGCTCTTTTGGCTTGTTGCCTTGTGAAGTGTAGATGCTTGGATCTCCAAGAGACTAGAAATGCATCAGTCAAGCTCCCTGATCTTATGTGCAGAACTTTGGAGATAGGGTCTTAACTGTGAGGAAAAGGTGAGAGAAATCTGCCAAAGCACCCAAAACTGATTCATTGTGCGCAGATGTAGTAGGGACAATGAATACATAGGAAAAGGTACAGTATTGCAGTTTTAAAACACCAACAGTAAATCGTGGAATCTAGTTGGGTTTGGAGGGAAAGCTGGAAAAGCGTGTGGCAAAAGGAAAGATTGCGGGCGCAAGAAAAACCGTGCTTTCCTTTGAAAGGGGCAGCCGCAGTGAAAAAGATGTTGGAAGTCAAGAGAAACAGGGATTCGAGAGATTCCAGAAACATGAATGGATAATGGACTGATTCAGGAATTTGAAGAGCCTCACAGGAAAGACGACCAGAACAGGTTGAGGCACCCAACAAATGTTCGCGAAACCAGTGCAGTGCGGCTTCAGGAAAAATCCAAGGAATCCACAAAACATTAGGACACACACACCCACACCCACACCCACGACTCAAGCCCCAAGAAGACTTGGCCACAACTACCCGTTCATGCTACCACCACACATGCGTGCGCTGTAACAGAGATTCTGGAATCCTAGGAAAGTTCGTCGGGGACCCTAAGGAAAATTGGGAAATGCAAGGACAAGTTCAGGCACCCTAAGAAACATTATGCCTATATTGTATTGTATTATATAGGTCTATATGCTACAGTAGGAAACACCTTGGACACCTAGTAAATTCGGCAAACGAAATAGGAAACAGGAAATACAGTAGTATATAAAGTCGGAACCCTGAGAGACATGATTCGTGTCTTTGATTTCAGAGGAGGGGAAACCTTCCTTGTCCGGTCTGTTCGCCAGTTCAAGTCAATTTTCACGTCTGACTTTTCAGCTCATGTGGATCCTCTGTATCGAGCAGGAGGTGACAAGAGATCAGAGATTGGAGAGTCAGAGCTGTAGTCTTCTCCAAGCCAAAGCTTTGCAACAAAATGCATTGCAAAGTGAGGACACCGTGTGTTACATATGCCGGGCCGCGCTCTTTGGCTTCTTGGCCCAGGAGGGCTGCAGGCAGGGCCTGCTGCGGCCTGGAGTCCGCCTCCTCCGGTCTCCAAAGAGTGCTGGTGCGGCATCAGACGTTTCATATCGAAGAAGAGATGCGGCACCCAAAAGATGACGACTTGATTTATCTTGACTTTCTCGACTTCCAACATCTTCGACTCGTACACATCGTAGTCTTGCATGACTCCTTCTGATGCTCTTGTTGAATCCTTGGCGGCCACGGGCCACAGATGGCCACAGCTCATCCAACCGAGTTCTCCCCTACAGGAAGAGAATCAGTCCGCAAAAAACACACGAGAAAGACACATCAGTTGTAACATTATATAATTATATATATATATATGTACATTACGGATACCATTGTTATTATTGCTAGTACTATGACTATTACTTATTTTTTTTCTCTCAGTGGCATGCGTATTTCCTTGTTTTGGTGTCTTAGAGTTGTTTGTTGGTGTAAAATTTGGTTGTTGTTGTCTGCAAAACCACCTTAACTTATCAATAGTGCGGTTCCCGGTGTGGAACAAAAACGGAATATCGAGCTTCACTTCCATAGAGGCCACAAACAGTACATGTCAGGCTCTGTATAATTATAATTCTATGATGCCTAGACACTTCACCGCCCAACCGATTAGTTTGCCTTCCTCAGCTTGCGCTCGGCAATAAGGGCTTCGTAGTCTTTCCGCAAAGCCTCCAGCAACTCAAATGTTCACGCCATACTCCATGCAAATTGGACAAGAAACATGACAAAATCATACAAGTGTGGAATCCGTGCGTACAGGACAACGCTCACCTGGAATTTGCATTGCAACACGGCAAGTCATCAGAGTGAACATATGTGACTATTGCTGGTAGGTTGGAGGCCATCGCTACTAGGGTGGAGGCCATTGCTGTTAGGTTGGAGGTCACTGTATCGTCAGGTGTCCGTCCTCGCCTCGGCAGACATGGACTTCTCCATGACATCTGCAGTGAGAACCTTGCTCCCACCAAACTTGATAAGTCGAGACAAAGCAAACAGAACAAAACAACAAACGATGGTTGCATGGGCAAAATCAACTTGACATTGTCCTATTTATCTATCCACTACTGCAGACCTTACCTGGCAGCAAACGTGATGCGGATCACAGACTTGACAATCTTTTTCCACTGTTGGAAAAGCTTCTGGTTGTTGCAAACAAAGTTTATCTTTTCTCTGGCACCTTCATCAGCCGCTCACACATAAAATCCAGGTGAAGGTCCTGAGAACATTGAGAAGAGATGCCGACTTTCAACATGGCAAGTCTTGTGCGAATATCTGAGAATCGCATGTTAACTGAAAGGTATATAAGTTTAGGTTTTCTCTGGAAAACACAGCGGAATCTGTCATAGTTACAATATGTTACAATGCCCTTCCAAACCCTTGATCAAAACGGCATCGCTGTCCTCTTTGCGTTTCACCTCCAGGGTAGCATGTGCCTGGCAAAGTCTTTGCTACTTGTTCTGGGCCTTGTCGATGCTGACTCTCATTGGGGATTTCCTGAAGCCTATTTTTAACTCCAAGTGCCTGCTGAGTGCAGGCACAGTGTTGTGTCGTTGGCCTCAACCTTTTGATCATCTTTGAGCTGAACGTCTTCAAACGTCTTCTTAGAAATGGAATAAGAACACGAGTTGATCATCTCACCGGTGCGCACCTCGCCCAGCATAGCCAAGACCTCTCCGCTACGGGCGTTGAGGCGACCACGGCGCACGGCGGGAACCTCTTCTCCATTGAAGTGGATAGCCACCTGGTGAAGGAAATCGAAGGAATCTTTCCCAAGTGAGATGAACATGAACACATGTCAGATTCACATATATTATGCATTGGCAAGATGAGAACAGAGTTGAACAAGAAAATCAAGCACAGCCAACTTGTCTATCGAATGGTTCCTTGTACACGCTTGAAACAAGCAACATCAAACCAGCAAGAGCAAGTGCGACTCCCAGGGCACCAGCTTCGACCGCACAAAGGTACCCGAGCCCACTTCCCAACGTAGAAGTGCCCAGGCGACCGTGTCGTCCTTCACTCAAATCTAGTTTCCATGAAAATCCATGGAACAGGATTGCATTGTCATTATTGTTCCATATTGTTCCCTTATCCTGTTAGATTCCAAAATTCTTGCAACCATGAATGACTCCACCTCTACTGTTGGAAAATCATGGACTTCCTCCGCTGAGTAACTCTGGCACGTTCTGCTTCTTGCCTGACTAATATCAAAGCATACCAAAGTGACTATTGGCACCATAGAGGTACTTGCTGTTGCAGGGCCTGATGAAGTGACTTTTGACGGCTTTGATCGAAAGGATTCAATGTGAAGGTCGAAGATTCATCATGATTCTTTCTGAGCTCATTAGATTGTTGATATTTGTGGACCGAAAACCCCATTTCATGTTTATTTTGGTGGAACAGCTGCTCTCATTGATTTTCTCACCTGCTCCTTAGACCTGACAATTTTCTCGTTCTTTCAACACCGGGCGTGTCAGCTTGTCCGCCAAGTGCTCGCAAAGCTCTTCGACGCCCCCTGGATCGAGCGGGGATATTATATTTCCATTGAACCAATCCTTCACCCTCTCTCTCTCACATCTAAATTTGCAAACGCAAATTGATTCATCCGTATGTTTGCAAGTCAAAGGTGGCAGTGCCGAAAAAGCAACTTGAGATCCACTTTACTGAAAGGGACTCCATTCGGTACCTGTTCCAGCCGCAAGGAGTGAGGCTTCTGCCGAACTCACACTACCTCCACGTCTGCCCGCCATCAATGGCTGGGAGGTTTGTGGAGGCTAGTAGAGGCTGGTAGTGGTAGAGGCTAAAGGAGAAGACCTGCACTGGACCTGCACAACCTCAAATCAACGTCGGAAATGACCATTAGGGCTAGTCGTGCTACTATCCGGAATCCGGCCTTGTACTGTAGTAGTGTGTTCTTTTGAATTGAACCAAAGAATGCCGAGTGTGTGAATGTAATGGAGCCTAGACGTTGGCATCCACCATGCGCATGGTTTGCATCGCTTAGCAAAATACGCCACTTGATCATTCGCCCTCTGACAGCGCGATTGGATTGTGCTTTTTTGACAGCATCGCCAGGGCAAACATTGACTTAAGACACCCAGGACCCACCCTGACTACAGAGATTGGTCGAAGTGCTACTGTAATTGGACAACTGTTTGTTTTTTTAGCTGGGAGACTTGAGACTACCGTCTGAGTCTAGGGTATGTGACATGCTCCAACGAGGGTCTTTCAATTTTGAAAGCGGCCTCTATGGACTCTAAGGGCTCTCAAAGAAGCCGAAAATTCCTCGCCACACTGGGTGGGAAGCGCAGGAAAGAGTTACAATCAGTGGAAGGCCAGGAAAACTATGTACAATCCAGTGAGATGGAGGCAGCTGGGGCATGCAGCTGCGAAGCGCAAATGCGGCTTCTATGCCACTTCTGTCAGGCCAATGGGACTCGATGGGCGATTGCCCATCCTCCGTCAGTCTGTATAGGAGATCAGATCTTGCGAAATGATACGAGCTATAGATGATCTTGCCACTCTGCAGCCAAAGGAAGAATGCTTGATCCAGATTGTCTCTGCGACTTTGGAATCTTCTGAGTAAGGAAGGACACGTCATGTAACATTGAAGGCTGTGCTTGCAGGCCTTCAATGTCCGAGTGAATCAATTAGATTGTTGGCCTGTACTATATGACCAGATTGCTCTATTTACTACATACTTTCAAACAATGTGCATCCGCCTCCGGGTGTCACAGTTCCCCCATCAGCTCGTGTCACGGTTGCTGTACCTGCAGCGTGTGCGCCAAATCCTCTCAATCCGAATGAACCATGCGCCCTCTACTCTGCAGCTGCCTAGCGATGGAACATTAGTTTTCCACGGCCAATGTCAGCAAACTGTTGCACCCCAAAAAGTGGACATTTGAGTTGAGTGCAAAACCATCAAACACCCCAAACTCAATTCCTGTACTAAGGTCGTACGCATCTGCAGAGTTGACGGTGGCCTTGACAAAACAGGGCAATATAATACAATCGAAATCGAACAAAGGGTGCCAATGTGTGCAAATCGGGTGATTAACTTTTCTTTACTATTCCAACAAACTGACTATTCAAGTCAAAAAGGGCCTAGGAAATTAAGCCCCTGTAGAATTGAGCGAGCACTGGAATACTACAAAAACAAGTGTGAGTGTATTATAGTTTAACACAGGTTCAATTGACACTTCCAGCGCGGGATGTGTCTCTCGATGTTGGCTCTGGAACGAATTCCTGCGGCATTGCAGAAGTTGACCCTTTTTCTTGCGATGTAGACATTATACACAGGATCAGCCAGGAATGTGCTTCTCCCAGTCCAAAGGAGGTGAGAGGAAGTTCGGACTGCTAAGAGATGCAACACCTGGAAACACGTTTGAATGGCTTCCCGCACCCTGTTGACAAACATATTATCTCACTGAAATTGATTTCTACAGTAAAAACGTGCCGTGTGGTCTTCAATTCTCTTCACTCCTACGAGTAAGTCAAGAAGTTTGCACTGTGTGTGTGTGTTGATCACTGAGGCACAGGCTGTGGTGCTAAAGAAGCCGTTGCATTGGTGTAGACCTTGTTTTTCCGTGGAGAGACTGTCAAGAAGGCCAAAAACTACTCTTGCAACAAAGAATGCTGAAGCAGTCTGCTCCTTCATCTCAGACGTAGACACGATGCAAATGTTCATAAGATTGTTTATGCAGGGGCTCAAAAAACGGATTCGAGATATGACAAGTGAAACCTTGAAGACCCACTATGTCGAGCAGGCATGAACTTGCATCACTGGCCATAAATGTCAAGCCCAATGTCTTAGACATTGACATTTTAGATTTTTAGACGAAGCCTCAGCAGGCTGAGAGTGGGACAGTCATGCCTGAAGGCACCCTGCACCAGTTAGGGAAGAGCGGTTGTATGGGGCACTTGAGAAAAGATCTTCAGGGGACTTAAAGTCTGTGGAAAACACTTAGAGAACTCGGGTTTGATGTTCAAGATCTCTCGTGGGGATTTATAGTGGCTCTGAGAGCTCAGGCGCAAAATCAAAACCTTTCAATGTTTCGGCTTAGTGATGCTGCACAACCTGGAATCACTAATTCACACTCCGTACTGGGCAAGGCCTATGATGTATTTATGTGCCGATGGGCCACAGGCTGATAATTCTTGATGTCGTAGTTCACCGGGTCAGTGAGTTGCGAACACACCCCAGAATTACTGCGAATTCCATGAGCTAAAGGCCCCTTGCACCACTCAAGCTTCCCTTGCAGGTTTACTGTGCTAGCTCAAGCCCCTGCAGGG